AAACAACTGTTATTTTTGTCTACCTATTTTGTAGAATCCCTGTCGTAATGTAGGTTTGATCTCCAGGGTGTTGTAGTTATGCTGGTTTACTTTTGAGTCCCCTTCTATCTGGTCTTCCAGACGGTTAGTCAATTATACTTGGTGTACGCTGTCAAGATGACTCCGCACTTTATATTAAACGAAAGTGGATTGGGTTGTGACATAGATAATAGCTGATAATCCTGAGTGAACTTCTTTCAAGTATTCATTACTGAGCATTATTAAAACTATTATTTCTGATTACTTTCATCATAGAGAGTACTGCTCGTGGCCTGTAAGTTCAACTGAAAAGAGAATGTTCCACATTTTGCCCGTCATCTGTTGCACATTTTTGAGCAATAACTTTTATTGTGGCTTAACGCCAAGATTCAAAAGTTCTCTAGTTATAGACATCAGAATCGATTATTACATCTACATCATATAATCAATTACAATTATTCAGTCATTTGTTACGTGGCATCCATATTCATAAAACTAATTAACTTACAAACGTAGTTGCTTCTAAGTCCTCTCAAATCTTAACACTGCTGAAAACTATCCTTTTATTTGTTCTGTTGTTCAGTTGGTTAGTTTTCATCCCGACCGAAGCTGCTACCTTGACGTGGTGGTCGGGCTTGCCTATCGTGATGACCCAACCGAGCTATACTGGCTGGAACACATGTTCCTGCAGGTCCTACCATGCCAGGCAGGTCGATTGGAGAACGATGAGACTAAAAGCAGCTACCCAAGGTCTGAGGGCGAAGTCGTACTGCTGACTGCAGAGGGGTGTGACAGCAGTAAGGTGTTTCCCTCGGACAACCAGCATCTGCAGCGATGCTGCCTTCTCACAAGGAAGGAAGGGTTAGAAAAGGTCGGCCCTAAAAAATGTCACACCTCCCCTAACTCACGGATTTCCGTCTCCTTGGGTAAGGGTGCCCACTAAGGGCCTTTAAGAACGGAGCTAATCCTCTAAATACCTCTCATAAAAAGGCCGTGCGTGACCGGCCTGAAGCAGTTGTCCCTTGGACTCTGCGGTCACGCACCAACACTAATCCATCTTCCTTTTCAGGTTCGTCAAGAAACAACCTTCCACGGTGTGGGCAGCCGGGAAGTGATAACCGCCCTCATACCCGCAACAGCACACGAGACCAAATTGTTCAAAATCAAATCCTTCCTACATTCCCTAATACCTCTCTTATCTCCACAACTAACTCTTCTCACATTCATTTATTACAGTGCACAGCTAATGCAAACGATGCGAGTTTGCGAAACGTCGTTCCTGGTCTCCTTAAACCCCGTTCCAAACTACATGTTGGAGCATTCAATGTACGGACATTGTGTCAAATAGGGCAACAGGCGTCATTAGCTAGGACTTTAGAATCTCGTTCCATCGATGTGTGCTGCGTCTCGGAAACGCGCATACAGAATCCGAGTAGCATCACTCATTTGACCTCACCATGTCAAGATAAAGAAGCAGCTCGATTTACCCTTCGTGTATCCGGTAGCCCTGAGGCTGCTTCTAGGGGCCTCGCCGGTGTAGGTATAGCATTGAGTCGTAGGGCAGAACAATCTCTCCTTGACTGGATCCCTGTAGATAGTCGCTTCTGCGCCGTCCGACTGAACGGGAGAGTAAGGACTCGGAAAGATAGGGACACTCGCCGTTGCCTCTTCGTCATATCAGCCTACGCCCCCACTGACTGCAGCGCAGATGATGTAAAAGATGAGTTTTACAGAAAGCTTTCGGACCTCCTCCAAAAGGTCAAGCGCTCTGATATAGTTATAATGGCTGGTGACTTCAATGCACAAGTAGGTAGACTAAGTGAAAATGAAAGACACCTAGGTGGATGTTACGGTCTCGCGGCTCAAAGAACAGACAATGGCGGCCGTCTGTTGCAACTGTACTTAGATAACCAACTATTTCTAGCAACTTTTAAGCATAAGGATTTTTAAAAACATGTTTTGACCTGGCGACCACCGAAGTCGTCTCAACGTTGGACACAACTAGATCATATCGCCATCAGCCACCGATGGAGGGGTTCGATAGAGGACTGTCGCTCGTTCTGGGGCACATGTTTAGATTCAGATCATGCCCTAGTGCGAGCACGTATTTTTTTGAGGCTTGCTGGACGTAGGAAAGACACCGTAAGGAAGCCTCTTAGGGCTTTACTTGATGATAATCAAGCTAAGAAAATATTTCAGGAGGAACTAGAAAAACAGTTTGGCGATCATGCAAGTGATTCCCATCCGGAGCAGGTTGGAATGATATAAAGAAGGCTGTGGAAACAGCAGTGATATCTGCTAGCAAGGTAAACCATAAGGCTAGGATGAAGCAGTGGATTTCAGTCGCATCCACCGAACTGATGGATGCTCGAAAACGCATCCCACCTGACACTGAACATGATGAAGAGCGTACTCAACTTAGGCGCAGACTTATAAAAAGCCTACGTAACGACCGTGAACAGTGGTGGGTGGCGAAAGCAAAAGTGATGGAAAAGGCAGCGGCGATAGGCAACACTAGACAACTTTTCCGCCTTATCAAAGAAACCGATATTAGGAACCCGAATGTAAGTGAGACTATCTCGGAAAAGGATGGTCTTATTATCCATTCTCAATCTAGGAGGCTGGACCGATGGGCAGAACACTTTAGGGATCAGTTCAACTGGCCTTCAGCCACTCTTCGGTTGCCCACGATCTCCAGTCATCCTGAATGGCAAATCGATTTAAGTCCTCCCAGTTTACATGAAGTTGAGAAAGCTATAGGAAATCTAAGGAGAGGTAGAGCGGCAGGTCCCGATAGGCTTACCCCTGAGATGTTTAAGGATGGTGGTCCAGTTTTAACGGTTAAACTGACCGAGATCCTAGGTAGAATCTGGGAAATGGACGTAATCCCATCTGACTGGTCTCAGTCGCTAATTGTCCCAATCTACAAGAAAGGACAGAAGTCCTCTTGTGACAATCACAGGGGAATAAGTTTAACTAATATAGTTTCTAAATTGTTAGCCTCGATTATACTTAGACGTCTAACTAGAGCTCGCGAAGAGCAGACTCGAGAAAACCAATCTGGTTTTCGACCTGGACGTGGTTGTATAGACCACATCTTCACACTACGACAGGTCCTGGAACACAGACACACATTTAGACGTCCGACAATAGTCGTGTTCCTGGACCTTAAGGCGGCATTCGACTCAGTGGATCGTGAGGTTCTGTGGCAGTGTCTGTCATTGAAAGGTGTACCAAAGAAGTACATTAACCTTATACAAGCACTCTACTCGAACACCACTGGTCGGGTGAGAGCATATGGCGAACTGTCATCTGAATTCTCTACATCAAGTGGTGTCCGTCAGGGATGTCCACTCTCTCCATTCTTGTTCAACTTTGTCGTAGACATCCTCTTAGAGTTAACATTAAGCTCGTCAGATTTTTCAGGGGTTGACCTTCTACCAGGAAAGTCGCTTACTGATCTAGAATATGCCGATGACATAGTTCTATTCGGTGAAGACGCTGACAAAATGCAGAGTCTTCTGACTACCATAAGCAACAATGCGAGCATGTTCGGGATGCGGTTTTCCCCCTCGAAATGCAAAATGTTGCTTCAAGACTGGGTTGCTTCGGCACCTGAACTAGTGATAGGGAGTGAAGTAGTCGAGCGTGTAGATCACTTCACTTATCTGGGGAGTCTCATCAGTGCTGACGGTCTGGTGACTGACGAAATCTCAGCTCGGATACAGAAAGCTCGATTGGCTTTTGCCAACCTGCGTCACTTATGGCGTAGGCGTGATATCCGTTCGCTAACCAAAGGGCGGGTGTACTGCGCAGCAGTTCGTTCCGTTCTCTTATATGGCTGTGAAACATGGCCGTTAAGAGTAGAAGATGTTCGTAGGTTACTAGTATTCGATCATAGATGTTTAAGAAGCATTGCTCGTATATCGTGGGACAGCCGAGTAAGCAATGCTGTCGTTAGGAAACGAGTACTAGGTAAGGATGGCAGATCAATCGATGAAGTGGTGAAACTTCATCAGTTGAGGTGGTTGGGACATGTGTTACGTATGCCTAACCACCGACTGCCTCGACGAGCTATGTTTTGTGGTGTAGGAGTAGGTTGGAAGAAAGCTAGGGGTGGCCAGACCAAAACATGGCAGAAATCCATGAAGTCACTGACAAGTGGACTGAGTCATGTTGGTAGATGTAGACTACCTGGTTGGGGTCCGCGAGACGAAAGTCATCAATGGTTAGAGACCTTGAACGACATGGCTCAAAATCGTTTGCAATGGCGCCGGTGCATCCACTCTTTGAGCTCTCTCAAATCCTAATCTTCTGGATTAGCCAGCACCTTTACCTTTGTCTTTCTAACCTTATCTCACTGAATTATATTTTTTGAATAATATCTTAAACCCTAGTCTTCTTTATTATAACATTAATACCTCTACCATCTTTATCACTATGGGATTTGATTTGACATTTGCGTCTCTGTGCTAATAATGTGGTATGGCAACATGAACTTATGTACATACGTACGAAGTTCCACGTTGCAACTGACTGACTGACTGGTTAGTTTTCATAATTGTCTGATCATTTGTTTTACAATCCATACGATTTATCTCTCATGATCTTATAGTATATAAAACACAAATCAGAAGCAGTCTTGAAGCATCCCTATGGGAAGTATAATCAAATTAACGTGTTATTTTTTATTCGATAAATCCGGAGTAAAAATATGACTAGGGAATTGGTTATGATAACCTATTCCAGTGTTTGTTTTGGTTTTTATCTGTAAATACGAGGCGTGTTAGAGCTGTTCCTAAAGAATGAGCCCGTTAGGATGAAGCACGCAGTTGTTGTTTTTATTCTAATTACTGTTGAAAGCTAATTTTACAATGTTATTAGTCTTTCACGGTATCACTTATGCACTCTCACTTTTGTTTCATCCCATTTATTGTAGACAGTTACGTTTTTATATTTCATCTGAAGTGATTTCATGTCAAATGTCTGGTCGTATCTACTCTGCACTGTATTCCAAAATAGCAAATCAACAGAAATCTTCAGAGGATGCTGTTTCATTACCTGAACCATTACTCAGTTTTCTAAAGTCAAGCAATACAGATGGATCACAGAACTCTCCTGATGAATCTACAACTTCCTCTGAAATCGAGGCGCGAGGTCGTCTTACGTCTTGGTTCTATCAAGCTGATACCGACCCTCTAATGCTTAAAGGGATGTCTCGACGACAGCGCCTTATGGGGTTTTTCTTATGCCTTCTTTCAGCATCGTTGTGTCTTTGTTTGGCGATGGTTTTTTTGCCAGTTATTGCAACACCTTTTGGTATGCGTAAATACGTACTATTACATACACTTGGTAGTATTTTATTAATCGGGAGTTTTTCATTTCTTTGGGGTCCGTGGAATCACATTAAGGGCTTATTTAGTACCGAGCGCCTGTTTTTTACTCTGAGCTATTTGGTCAGCTTATTTGGTGGTTTATATGCTGTGATTGTATGGCAGAGTGCTGTATTTTCAGCTTTGGCTCTGATTTCTCAAATTTGTTTAGTTGTATGGCAAATTATTATTGCTATACCTGGAGGCGCAACTGGTTTGACCACTCTCTTACGTGGCAGTTTGTGGACAGTAAAAGGAATTTCTAAAGGTCTTCCTATCTAGTTTTTTTTGCGCTACATATTGCTCTCTGTAAAGAAGGTTGGAGTATTTTTAAAAACATCCTGTTGAGGTGATTTATGCTGGCCTCACCACTAGATTATATTGACTTTTCGAAGACCGTTTGAATAATAATTTCTTATGTTCAATACCATACTCGCTTTGTTCAATTAAAACAAAAGGGTGAATTTATAAGGGACGAAACCGTTGGTTAAAATTTTTTTAATGAATCTGTTACGGGTAGGCGTTTAAATAGTCAATTCAATCGATTGTTATGAATATCGTTTGTTGGGTAGTGCTAGCTGTTCGAAACCCGATCTGGCAAATTCGTCAAGTGACTGTTAGGATCTGCAACAGAAAAGACAATGACATTCCCTTTATTGTATCTGTGACACCACAGTTTACTTGTAATCGTTGATCTTATTTTTCTCGATTATTCTGGAGTACAGATGTGTACAGTCTGTCAGACAATATAAATTCCTGAACATGATAGTTCTGCTTCACTCATTAAAGTGAGTTGTAGGATAGTTGCAATATTTGAATAAACAAAAGTGCAAATATGTTAACTGAGAAACAGTGATGTGTCTACAATTCGATATCCCGGTGTTTGACTGTAACAAGTATGTGTTCCTCTTTTCGGAAAACTTGTAAATCTTTGGAATGCTGCGATAATCAGTAAAATGAAAAAAACATGGAAACAAGCTGCTTTCAATGACAAAATTCCCGTGAATTCCGGTATCATTTATTTTACAGTACTGCAGTTTGCCAATCTTCGTAAAATCCTCACTTCACATTTTACAGATAGTTTTCAAGTATTTTCTACCTAATAAACCAAAAGAAAATAAAACCTATGTCGAAAGTAATTTTACGCTTATTTATTTAGCTTTTCTGAGTGGGAGATGTTGAAACCTGGGAAACTATTCCTTGGTATTTGTCATTTGTTAATCATTATTTTTAGTACAAGCGGCACCAAAAAATATTTACGCCACAATAAAAATGAGTTTGTGAAGTGATAAGGAAAGAACGGTGAGTATAACAAAACAATCAATAAAAATTGGTGTATGAAAGTGAAATAATAGTAATATTAGTGGCAGAAATAGTTTATTTAATCAAAGTACAACCAGGAAGAACTCTTTCAGTTGGGGGGATTCCTTCCACTTATATGAAGAAATTAGAATAAGGTTACAGCAGGACCCACTAGCTTTTAGCCCCAGTCATGTCTGATGACGTCTTAGGCCACAGTTGCACCATCTCTAGGATCCCAACTAGAGAGTCTTGAAGGATTATCAAATACCAGTCATACATCTTCCTTTGATATCACGGAACAAAGTCATACACTAGCCAGGTCGAAGGATCTTTCTCTAGGGGACTAATCGACATCATAATCTATGTTCCTCGGAGCTGTTTCTAGAACGTCGATGGCGAAATTGACTAGGGATCCTGTCTAATCCCACTGCCTGAATGAAACAACGAAAAGGTGGTCTTATGCCCTTATTTTGTTTTAGGTGTTAGTATATAGGTCCTTCAGGGTGTGAATAAGCTTCTCAGACACTTCAGCAGACTCCCAGGAAATGGACCTGTTCAGAGAATCGAAGTCCTCGATGTCAAGAAACAATTGTTATGAACCAGTGGCTATACACGCGTGGCGATGTGAGAACATTTTCATAGGAAGAGCGGATTCTCCCCGCAGCCATGTCAGGGCACTCGGTTATGTGGACCAAGAATGCATGTAGTACTACATTCGATTATCAATTGTTTGGGTAAATGGAAAGTCTGCAGCCTGGCGTGAGATGAGCTTTTATTAAAGGCAATCATGTTTTATAGATACCATGAGTAAGTATGATTACATGACTAACAGTTAATTTTGTTAACAATGATGTCTGTAATATTCCTGTTTTTAAGAAAGCGGGAATTCTAGTCCCGAAATACTTGGAGATTTTAGAAGTCGGTTCTGTGGAAATATCACTAAAATCAATCGTAGTAACTTTTTGACCTTCACTGCCATACAACTGAGAAATAGCAAAAATAAGGGTTATGACGTTGTGATGGTGATAGACCCCTAAGAGCATCAATTTGACTCAAGATTATAACACATTTAGTGCTAGTGATATATATTTAATTTGAAACTATTCGACTGACTGACACTGAAAGCGTTTTCTAAACCTCATTACGTAAAGCTATGAACGATTCACATTTTGAGTACCGTATTGAGGCACAATGTATAACTGCTGATAAAGTATTTTGATAAATGAATTTAGTAGTGGTTTGTCGTATGAACTGATACTAGCAAATTTTCTGACTACAAATTTGATATCGATAAACCTACTGTGTGTGAAGAAACCGCTGGGCACATATAGTCGCTTTCCGAGGAATATGTTCACTTGATGAAGGTATTATTACATTTCAACTCTGCGCAATTGTATTGGTTTTACTCAGAGATGAATAGTCGACCAGCATATCATCTTTATAGGAAAGTAGACGATAAAACCAAAAAGAAGGTCAACTGATAACTTCTATGAATAAGCCGAAATGGGTACTCTTGAGTTTCATCTCACTGTGACAAACGAACTGTCAGAAGATTCTCAGGAAGGGTCAAAAAGTACACCCTAATGAGGAGTGTCTCTGGTAAGCAATAATCTGACGAAATACTCATGAAGCTGACAATTTCTCATTACAATGTATTAAATAGTGTAGGTGTTAAGGATCTTATCCTGAATAACCAGTCATTTCCAAAAAAAGTGGAAAGATATATATATATATATATATATATATATATACATATATATACATATACATACATATATAATTACTAAAGGTAAAATATATTGGTTTTGTCATAGGTAACTGTGTTAGACTGAGACATGGCACTCTATTTTGAATTGCCTGAGTTATGTGCATACAGACAACGTCACATCAAAAAATCATCAGGGAGACAGTTTATAGACCTTCGGTGTATACCGAAGTGGTTTTGAATAACTTCGACCGCTTACTAGAGTCAAAATAGGGTCATGAATTAGTTTTAAGAATAATGCTTGGGAGTAAGAGAGTTCTCATAAGAAACTGACATTGGTTACTGTACCAAAATACCATTTAGTCATATTGGTTTGTGAATTTCACGCAAAAGTGTGAAAGTCACTTTTAAATCCTATTATTTTGTTTGTTAGCTATAGTCACGCCTAAATAAATTTCTAAATAGATAGTAGTGATAGTAGTGAAATGCGTCTAATCAACAATTATTTTTTTGAGATTCAGGCAATCAGTTGAAACTAATTTAATTTTTGAGGCTCATAGTTCATGAAATCCTGCATCGATAAAATCTCGGATTGATTGACGAAAATGTTCTATTCAACTGATTTTATAGTATCCATTGGTAAATTTAAATGGGACAATAGGAATATAAGTTGCATGATAAAAATAAATTAATTTAGTTTTACTTTTTAACAGTACGGTCTCCCATATTCTGTTTGACAGTAAACATAATATTGATTCTTCAAATTCGTTCAAAACTGTCAATCAGCAAACAACTTCAAACTTCACTTGTTCCCGCCGAAACTGTCGTTTGCGAGGATTGAAACCTGATTCATATTGTAGTGAAGAACACAGGTGAGGGCAACCGGATTGTACTTTCCTCAAATTACAGAGTTAATTGGTAAAATAGAAAAACAATATCGTAAATCGTCAATTTGCAAAATATCAATCCATATCGAACTGGACTATTCTTGTTGCAAACATCAATCGATTGTCTGACATTTCACTGTTCATGCTATTTCATACAAATCCCATTGTGTTCCCGCTCTTCCTTTCTTGATCTTCCCCCATCTTCTGCTGCCAGAAATTACGTTTTTATTCGCGTCATATACTACTTATAAGTAGCGCGCACCACAATATGTGTGAACATGTAAAGAGAATTCACAACAGAATAGGATTTATCTTATTCTATTACATCTGTTCTTTCTCTATTCACAAAAGATTGTGTTCCTTCAAACTCCTACTAGAAATGTCACATAAATTTACCTGCACCTTCAATCATACAAAATAAGGTGATCCCTCACGGGTCAGTATGGTTGCACAGTATTTTAACAATTATGTCTTACTGTCAAGATGCCTAGTCGTTAAGTTATTCAATACTAGACCAAAACAAAATATCTGAAATTGGGTATCTTTGTTAAATGCGTCTGATAGCAACATTGTCAGTTTGTGAAAGATTTAGCTAATTGGCAAACTTTGGTAGGTCAGTCAGAAGAGTTTTGTTTTTAATTATCTACTGTTGTGTAAGATACACCAACTAAGTAAGCGATAATTGGTAGAAGTTATGCAGAATTTCATTGGTCCATTTCCGTTCTATATATAAGTGGACCGATTCTGTTGCTCTAGTCATTATCGCTAGTGAAAAATGCTTTCCTATAGAGTGTTGATTATAGCTTCGTTTGTGCTCTTGCTCTTAGGAACAGGTAATAACTAATATCAATATTTGTGAATTTAATCATAATTTTCTTAATATGATTGATGTATAAGTCATCAGATATATTGATACTTTATAACAGTAAGCTTTTGACTACAACTTCATTTGCCAAGCCTTTAATAATCTATTGCATTTTGTCTTTTTAGTATTTGAATGACACTTTGCTCTTACATTAAAAATGAAGCACATACTTACTTCTTTACTTCTATTACTCCTTTTGGATAATAGGCCACCGATCAGGGTTCTTGAACCGACTCTGTCCTGAGCCTTCCGTTCCAGTTGTTCCGAATTGCTATTCATTCTTTTGATGTCTGCTTCAAATTCTCACTTTAATGTGTTCTTTGGTCTTCCTCTTTTCCTTTGGAGTTGAGGATTTTAAGTTAGGACTTGCCTTATGACGCAGTTGGGTGATTTTCACAATGTATGTCCTATCCACCTCCAATGCTTTTCCCTAATTTCTTCCTCAGCTGGAATCTGGTTTGTTCTGTCCTACAGAGTAGGCTGTTGCTGATGGTGTCTGGCCAACTGATCCACAGTAACTTGCGTGGATAACTGTTAATGAATACCTATATCTTATGTCTGATGGCTTTCATAGTTTCTCAAGTTTCCACTCTATACAGTAGAAATGTTTTGATGTTTGTATTAGAAATTCTGACTTTGGTGTTTATCAGTATTCGTTTTGAGTTCCTGATGTCCTCCGACTGTAGAAATACTTCCCTTGTTTTACTAGTCTGTATCTTCACATATGCCTCATATCCATCTTGTTTACCAGTAATGCTACCCAGGTACGTAAGCGTTCTTACCCCTTCAAGAGCTTTTTCATTAAGTGTAATTTGGTTGGTGCTCAGTGTATAATATCTTTTTGTCTTGTGTAATTTGGGGCCTACTGATTCAGTGGCTGTTGACACACAGAACGTCTTTAACTGCGTTTGTTGTTGTGTGTGGGACAGAAGAGTTAGGTCATTTGCGAAGTTCGAACAATTCCTTTCTTCCATTTTATATTGTCTTATAACATATTTGTACTCGGTGTTGTCCATTCCAGCCTCGGCATTTACGTCTCCAATCAGGATGGACATTCCTCTACAATTGACTATAGCTTTTCATCAAACTGATGTTTTTCGTATTCGTTTCTATCGTGGATGGGTGCATTGCACTCGATCCATCTTTGTCTTGAATCGTGCTGTGGTGATTCTGAGTCCACGAGATCCTCATCCTATAAGTGCTTTCTGTGGTTCTTTGGATAGGGTCAGTATAATTCCTTGTGTACGTGAGGCGATTCCTTCTCTATAGTCGGACTATAATAGCATGTCTCCTGAAGTCCATCTTTTTTGTCCAGCTTATATCTAATGGGTTCTACTTGTTGGAAGCTCCTTCAAGTTGTATCTTTCCATCTTCGAAGCACCTTGAATGGTCCTGCCGGTCTCTTACAATGTGTAGACACTACATGGAAAAATGTCCTTTGTTGCTCTGGTTGTCATAAGAGGTATCGCCCCAGTGACTTCCGTAAAATCTCGGCCTTCATCGTGAGGCTTCATAACTCTTCTAAATGAAGACCCTTAAACTGCCAGAGTAGCTTTGATTCCTACCGGATCGGCTCGTTATCCTCATACTCTAACCTCCTTTATCTGAGCATGAGATCAACGGTAACTTTGAAAGTGCAGCAGCCGGAGTTATGAAGTAGCCAGTTGTTTTCTTTTTAAAAAAAAGGGGCAATCGTAAGGTCAGGCTGACGATAGAAATGCTTTGTAACGGTCTGGTAAGAAAAAAAAGTCAGTGGAATTAAAAAACTATGAAGTTTTATTAATCGACATTTATAAAATTAGACATTAAACAAATAGCGCTAATATTAAATTTAAACAATCTGAATAATGATGAAGTTGTAATTTCTGATTATTCATCTCCTTTATAAACTTTAATAATCAATCTATCATCCCACTGCGATTAATTTCTAATTCAATAAAAAAGCTTGACAGTTATCATCAACCAAAAATTCTGATCATTTTGGTACAAATCACCAAATATGAGTATTGTATTATGTAGATGACATTGAAATCACTGAAACCAACTTATACAAGAAATTAAAAAATTAGATATGAAGTTCCTTGTTGAACATTATTGAACAGATAGTTTCATGTGAAATATACTTTTACACATTTTCGAAACCATGAATCGTTCAATGTTAGAGCACCATTAGAAACCGGGAAGCACTGGACGGCCGTTTCGTCCTAGTATGGGACTCATCAGTGACAGTGCACATTCACGACTTATGCAGCCCGTAGGATTCTAACCCAGGACCTTCGGTATTGTGCGCGAACGCCCTAACCGCTAGACCACTGAGCCGATATCTAACGGCGTTAATGTATAACTTGATCAATTCACGGAGTTGCGCAACCTCATACACAGTCTTCAGTAGTTACTGTCTACACCCGAACAGGTTGAACTTCACTGGTCACGTCTTCCCACTAGAACTCGGAGAAGATTCCTCACGAAGCTAGTCACTAGTGAGCACAGGTAATTTGCATTACGGGGTTGTGAAGATTGTTAAGTTACACATTTTTGAAACCATTGATCGATTCATGGTTTCAAAAATGTGTAACTTACCAATCTTCACAAACCCGTAATGCATATACTTTTACACCACAATTATTACATAAAGTGTTATTTAACAATATCACAGAAGCTATTTAGTATAAAACCAGTTGTTCAATAGTCAATAAATGTTGAAAGATGAATAATCAGTCTATTCCATTGATTCAGAAAAAAATCTTACTAACAATAAGATCTATTTGTTTTTATAATAAAAAACACCGAAAAATCCATGTGCACATATTTTCAGTGATCTAAACATCAATCACTTTGTAGGGAATGCATGATTTCGATATATTGTAAAGGTAAAAATTTTAGAAAAACCTTGTGAAACAGTAATGCGGTCCATATAAGTGAATCCTTTTGCTTGACATCAATTTGGTCTTTTAGTATCGTTTATTTACCAAGCATAAGAGAGAAATAACAATTGAAGGTAGAAACTTTGCTTTAATAACTTTATGCATCCATTTTTTCATGGACGCCACATGTCATCAACAAACATAGTTTCGATTCACATCAATTTAATTTCAAGAGTTCTAGTAATTAACGTGTTATATAGATAGAGAGAAAGAGAAATGAGAAATAAAATATTCATTCTTCTTTTCTATACTAATTGTTTTATGATTTGTTGATAGATTGACTGACTATCAGTGATATCAATTTATAAATTTTGTATGACACATACTGTAGTGAAGGAGAACACAGGTGGGGCAACCGAATTGTATTTAACGAAAATTACAGAGTTACTCAGTAAAATTGGAAAACCATATCGTAAATCGTTCATTTGCAAAATATCACTTCATCATATCGAACTGGACTGTTCCTGTTGCAAAACATCAATCCATTGTCACTATTCATGCGTTTCATACAAATTCCATTGTGTTCTAACTCTTCCTTTCTTGATCTTCCCCCATCTTCTGCTGCCAGACATTACGTTAACACTCACGTCATATACTACTTATAAGTAGCTCGCACCACAATACTAGTATTGAACATTTAATAGCATCTTTAACAGTTGATTTTATTGACAAGTTTTGAATTCAATGTAAAAAAAATTCTATGAAAATAATGTTTCTGTCTAATCGACAATTGACTGTTCATTTTGTTCTAAATTTTAATCAAATGTTGAAGATATTTTTGAATTATTTTTTCATTTTAATTGTTATCATCAATCTGGTTATTAGTTACGAATTCATATCTATCTACACACAACACAATGAGAGATGTGCATTGTGACATTGCTCGGTAGATATGATTTACATATAACAGATTATTAACTTTTACTAGAATAATAATTCAGTATAGACATTTTTCTATGAAAGTAAACGAATTGACCATTATAATACTTAGAATTATTCTTTGTTTTATTATTCTAGTTCAATGTCACTGGTTGGAAGGTAAGTGCTGTATGAGTATTTGCTTTCATTATGTCACTGTGTTAGATTCGCATGCAGTAATAAATATGTTTATTGATTAAAATAAAAAATGAAATAGTAACTGAATGGTTTGAAAAAACCAAACAAACCAAAAGATGAATTCTAGCTGGATCTTCACCTCCTCATCCTCCTTCATAGAATTATCAATAAACACCGACATTAACGTATACCAATGACATGAACATGATACTCTTTTGTGAAACAGATGGCGATTATATGAGAAGTTCTATGTAAAAAACAAGTCAACATTCATATTCACGCTGAGTTGAATATATCCGAATGATGATCTGTTCATGAGCAAATATCGTTTGTTTAAATTTGTTTGGATATACTACACAGTTTTTGTTTCCGCCTAAATTGATCATATATGAACTGAATTTTGGATACTTTTTTCGTGATGAATTATCAATGGAAATTGATAATCACTTACTTCACTTGCATTAATCTTTCAAATTTTTTAGCTCAAGCTTCACAATCTAAATCTGACATTTTTCAAAGGCGACTGTCATAAATAGAGCTTGTAGTTTTTTTATATTTATAGTATCAGATATCTAAACCTGATGTTAGTCTATTGTTTTGACAGAAAACACAGTCATCACATCAAAAAGTCACTTGTGTATAACAGAAAAACTTTGGAATTTCAATTTTTTCATAAATTTGCTAAACTGACTTCAGTAGCGTAAGTGATTTAGTGAAAACTTGTTAGAGGAAATTTTAGCTGTGTACATCGTGGCTAATTATCCAACTGTTGGGGATGTTAGATCCCCAGAACTCGCTTGATAAAGGCCTTATTTACGATTTCACATTTGCCAGCATGGGCTGATCAGTTGACCTTGAGGTTTCATTTCCCACCAGGAAAATCCATGGCTGTGATTGGCTGATGTGTGTTTTAGTGTGCTATTTTCGTAACTGTCCCAAGGATGTTTCTATGATGTATAAATAAACGAGAGTTGTATGCTTGATTGTATTGTGATTGCTGGGTGTTTGTAGAATATACTTTCTACGCTTACAAAGCCTTCTATTTACAGCTTGGGATTCAAGGTAGCCTATCTGGACGCTGGTAATTGTCTCGTTTGCGTTTATCGACTAAGGTGAACTTGTGATAGCTTCAACCGTATCTAGTGACGAACCCTACACTAACAAAGTTTTTTTTTGAATAACTTTACACTTAATTCTCGAAATTATAAATTTTGCAGACATTTCGGGTAAGCACTTTGGAAATTTCTGTTTTCTTCTAGTCATTAGTCTTGTTAAAACGCCACACAAAAATTAAAAATAAAAGTTATGAATAGTTGTTATCATTTTAAACCTGTTGTGAATATATACGATCTTTAAACCATAATATAAATATATACAGTACAAGAAAACACCTAATTTATACTGAAAATGAAATGCTGTGAATAATTTAGTCATTCCATTTGTTTACTTAATAGTAAGAGATAAATCTCGAAATATATGAGATCATTTAAACAGCTATTTTTATATTTCACAAGTTGACACTATCTTTTACTCAAGAGATATTGTGGTAGTTTTAACTACTAGTTTAAACTACTTCATATTTCATAGATCTGCCTATTTAGAAAGCTTTAAATAAGATTATAATTGACATTTCTCAAATATGCTTTCAAGGTTTTTGAAATTGGAGGGAACTTTCGATTTAAACAAATAAATTTTAAGGAATGTTTTTGTTGCTCGATTATCACATATTTTAATTATTTGTTAAGTTTGAACTCTTCAGTTTTCGACTATATAAAAGAGGAAGGAATCTGTTTCACATTCCGAGGATTTCGTGTAAAACCTCCGTGGATTTGCATGTTGTATTTTCAATATTATGCAACTAAAATAGTTGTTACTTCACAATTCTTAATATGTGCATGTTTTGTACAAGCTAACATAGTGTCTTACCAGCTACAGATATCCATTTGACATACAAACCAATGTGATCCATATGAAATCAAGTTTATGTAGTTAAAATTATATTAGAAAGCAGTCAAAGCACTTTTTAAAATTTAGGTTTCTTTTATTGGAAATACAATGACTTTTGATAAATTGAGAAGCATGAAGTGGTAATGAGCAGTCATGAATTTGTAGAACAATGTGAAATTCACTAGATAACAGTAATTCACTATTCTAGTGTATGCTACTGATAATTTTTGGCCACCATTTTGTACATTCAATCAAATACTCACTGATATATATTTTTAGGTTTGATTAGTTTGGTTTTATTTTAAAAACTTTAGCCATGTGATTAAAGAAAAAAGCATCTTATTGAAGCAAAACAATTTATTTTATTACATGAACAAACAGGTTCAGTAAATGCAAGGAGAATGTCGACCATTTTAGTTATGTTAGTCAGTTGCAACGTAGAACTTCGTATGTAAGTACATCAGTTCATGTCGCCATACCACATCAGCACAGAAATGCAATTGTTAATTCAAATCCAATAGTAGAAGAGGTAGTAAAGGTATTAGAAGTAATCGGAGAGGTTAGGATGAGAAGATATTATTCAAGAAGTGTGATTAAATGATAAAAGTTTAGAAAGTCAAAACTAGAGGTGTCGAAGAATCCAGAAGATTAGGATTTGAGAGAAAACAAAGAATAAATGCACCGGCACCATTGCAAACGATTTTGAGCCATCTCATTTAAGGTCTCTAACCGCCGATTATTATCATCTCGCGGACCCCAACCAGGTAGTCGACAATTACCGACATAGCTAAGTCCACTCGTCAATGACTTCATGGATTTCTGCCATGTTTTGGTCTGGCCGCCCCTAACTTTCTTCCAACCTATTCCTACACTACAAAACAAAGCTCGACGAGGCAGTCGGTGGTTGGGCATACACAACACGTGTCCAAACCACCTCAACTGATGAAGTTTCACCACTTCATCTATTGATCTGCCATTCTTACCTAGTACCCGACTCCTAATAACAGCGTTAGTTATGTTGTCTAAATGAATTAAGTTGAATAAATAAAATTTCCATTCAGATTGAAATTCATTTGATCAAACTGTACTAAAGGAAATAGTCAAACTTTTAAGCATCTTTCATTCACTTCAGATCTCATATCACTCTATTATAAGAATAAAAGTGAGTTCATAATGATCCAATTGATGAATTTATTTTAAATTTAGAAACTTTTTTCAGCAATTGCATTTTGGACGCGATTTAATAGGGTTTCTAGAGATCACGAATAACGTTTTGTGGACTCAAATCATTTGTATTAGCGGCGCGTGGTGATAAAGGAATGTGCGAAGGGTTAGTTCTGGATGTAAGAGAGATGTTAGGGGGTGTAGGAAGTATTTGATTGTGACCAATTTAGTGTCGTGTGCTGTTACGGTTATGAGGGCAGATGTCACTTCCCGGTTGCCCACACCATGGAAAGGTGTTTCTTCAGGAACATGAAAAGGAAGGTACATTAGCGTTGGTCTTAGAGACCTGGGAGCGTGACTGAAGATCCCAAGGGACTGCTTAGAGCCGTTTTATGGGATTCTTTGGAAGTGTTAGCTCTGCTGTTCAGATGGCGTTACCACCGGAGACGGAAATTTGCGGGTTAAGGTGATATTCGACATCCTTAGGGTCGGTCAGTTCCAACCTCTTCCTTCCGTTGTGAGAAGGCAGCATCGCTACAGATGCTGATTGTCAGATGGAAACAGCTCACTGCTATCAGACCCCTCTGCAGTTAGCAGTACGACTTCGCCTTCAGAGCTTGAATAGCTGCCTTTGGTCATACCATTCTCCAAACGACCTACCTGGCATAGTAAATCCTAAAGGAATACACGTTCCAGTTCATATAGTTCGATTGGATGATCATGATAGGCAAGCCTGACTACCACATTAATGTAGCAGATGCGGTCTCTAACATGAGTAATGATAAATTTCAGAACGGAGCAAATAAAATATCACTAAGCTCAATGATGACAGGAAAGTAGATACAACAATTTCTTTGATTATGTGAAATAGTAGATTTTTTATAAATTGAAACTGACAGTAAACAATTATTACCTTCTACTATAAGCTGTGTTACAGTGGGAACCATATAATTTAATGCACTAAAATGTTCGACAGAAATGTATGTATCTCAAAACGTTTATATTTAACTCAACTTAGACGAGAGGCGTGATGAAAGAATGAAGGATACTGGCTTTAACTTATTCGACCGTGAGTACTGACACATTTATTTTCGCTCAAGTTCTAGTTTATTTTCTTAAATATTCTTTGAAAGCTGATCAACATTGTTATTTATGATAATTTTCAAAATTCTTCTCACTGTCAGAGATAATTTATGAACATTTTGTTGATACTATTAAGTGTTATCTATTCAGTATCCAGTTATTTTAAGGCTGACAACAAAGCATTGTAAAGAGATAATAAAGTTCTTGTAGCTTATATAATATTATTTGAATCCTATTGAAGTGGCACATTGCAATGGACAGATATTGTAGAAATTTAAATATTACCTAGTCTATGCTGGCTTCCCATAAGCGAACCGTTTTATAGTTCCGTCCTCCCTTCAACTTAGAAGTAAGACCGGTCATTCATTTCTTTCATAGGTCAGTAAGATTTTATTCTGCACTCTATGAAGTTTATGTTATGATTGAGCGTACTGTATGTTATTATTTGCTTTTCCATTTAGCTGACTTTCATTGATTTTCATATAAAATAATACCTTGACATGTGTGACATGCGGAAGCGAATCGTTCTAAATGTATAGTGCATTTTTCAGATCAACTCCTTTTTCTTATTGTTGTATCAAAATTGATGAAAGACACTGATTGCGTTAGATTCGAAAGTTTCTTTTTATTGATCGAGACCATCTATAATGTGTAAACACTAATGAAACTTTTGTTTACTTCAGTTTTACATTTAATATTTGTTGGGGATGGGAGTAAGTTTATTTTCAACTTGGCATATTTAATTTTTAAATCGTGATTATTGGATTTAACCATTCTGTTAGTTATAATGTCTTATGAAACGAGAGCGATAATAAATCTCTTCATAATTCACAGAGAGCAAGTGTTTATACAGTTGATTAGTTTGCAATGAATTCGTATAAAAAAATTTCATTGTGCCAATTTTCGGGAGGAATTGTATAACACCAGTCAACGGATCAGTAAAAAATTTCTTAAATCAATTGTGAACGCAGTCAAATATTTGAATTTCTCCTGACAGATGAAATGTAATTTTAATAAGACTAGCTTTAGTGACTAGTTTCATGCGGGAATTCTCGGATTTCTAGTGAGAAGACGTGGGCAGTGGAGTTCAACCTTGTCGGGTGTAGGCAGTAACTGCCGAAGACAAATGGATAAGGTCGCGCAAAATCCCTAGATTAATCAGAGTTAGACATTACCACCGTTGGATGCCGGCCCAGTGTCCGATGGTTAGACGTTCGCGCACAATACCGAAGGTCCCGGGTTCGAATCCTGCGAGATGCAGGAGTCACGGATGCGCACTGCTAATTAGTCGTATACAAGGACGAAACGGCCTCCTTCCAGTGCTTCTAGGTTTCTAATGGTGGTTCAACAATGATTGATTGGTGATTTCAAATGTGTAAAAACAATAATCTGCATAACTCTAATTGGAAACAAAGAAAATTCAGTGGATTTCTGAATCAATAGATTTTCACAAAAAAATTGAAGAAGAAACCAATTATCATCATAGTCAGTAATATTGAATAGTGAACAGTACGTGTAATGACATAGTGTAATCTTTGATATACATATGTATAACAATGTATAATGATAAATTGAAAGATTTTCGTATTTTACTTTACTTGAAAGATGAGGATGAGTACAACGGAAGAAGGGGCAATGGTGGTTATGGTGGTGGTAGGAGAAGTGGAGGCCGTAAGTTTGAATATTCAATTCAATTTGTGCCTTATCCGTTTCCGAGATTCTATGTTTGAAATCAAATAGTCTAGTAATACTTGTCAATTGAGGATGGCTTCCTACTATTGTTTTGATTGTTAGTTTATGCATGCTAATAGTATTTCTTCCTGATAACTTATTTTCCATTCTAAACAAGAAACAACTGAAATTCATTGTATTGTGTTTAAGATTACAGTTATTATCAATAAGTTTACATATTTCAAATGATAGGATAGATTTGTAGATATGATATTTGCTTTTGATGCTGTTGAGTACTATTGAGCTAGAGACCTAATTAAGAAACTTTAATTGTCATTGTGGATAACATTCATTGTCAGTGTCTATTTCATACGGAATTAAGATTTTCAGTTACTCTATTTTTGATAAGTCAATTCTTTCTGACGTCTAACAACTGAAAACAAAAACACATACAAAGACAATCGTTTAGAAATAGAAAAAAAAAGAAATAGAAAAAATGAGCTAACTAGACAGTTGGAGATGAACTTCAAAAAACTCGATTTTACATGAAATAGTCTTTGATAAGGTTATCCGCAATAACTATGAAAGCTTGGTGATTAGACCATCTAACTGAGAGCGCTCACTTACGAGAGAAGTTCAAAGATGGATGGATAAATTTTGAAATTATGTGATCTTAACTGTTTCTTGCAACATCTAGTTAAATCTTGAGTATTTACTGAATTTCAACATAGATACATTGAAGGAAATCGCCTTTAAATATGTCCTTTTCAATAAAACGTAAATGGGTGTTATTACCGAAATGAAACGAAGGAACGAGGAACAAATAAGCGCATTTAAGGATATTACAGTAGCACAAAGATATTCTTATTGCTATGAACAATGAGAAACTGACTTAACATTCATCATAAGCGGTCCTGTTATATGTACACCAGAGAAATAAATGATCAGCTAAAAATGCTGCATGTTTACAAATTTCTTAGATTCAGTTAGTTTTATGAATTTCAATGAAGCAGAAACAATAGTTGAAATAGGATTGTGGTGGTGTTTCGTTCTCTGATCTAGATGTTTCGGTTGTAGAGTTTTGATTGTTCTTCTGAACAATATCGTCAGCAAAAACTTCAGATGGAAGTGAAGTATTCGAATTTCTCCACGTTTGACCCGCAGCTTGTTCTGTTAACCATGATTTTGATTGGTCCTTGAACCGTCTATCCCATTAATACTCAGGAAATAATTTTGTTTCGATCTAGTTTAAAGGCCTTGTCGTGATAGATTGCCTAGTTTACCTTGAAACTAGAAGAACTTGAGTTCAGTTACAACTAAATAGTCTTGGTAGAGGGCAACACATCACTTTACCCTGCGAAAGGCTGCCAAGAGAGATGACTAATCAACTGGATCAATAATCGATTTATCCTTGATTTGATTTACGAAAAAAGGCACATGCTACTCCTCACAAAGATTTGGAAAAACACAATGGTGTCCAAACTATGCATTTTCTGTAGAAAAATAGAGTACAGGGCTTATGTACAAGTTAAAATAATTTTGGAATAAAACAGACTATGACAATCAACCATACATCAACCGAAAGCTTACAAATTACAGAATCCGATATGAACAAGAATAAATACTAGTAGGCCAAAATAAACTTCTCTTGTTTGTCACTATTTCTTACTTTTGTCTTTACAACAGTAAACAATTTCTAAGTTGAACAAAATGCCAGTTAATCAATGTGAGAGTGCATAGTAGTGGTGTAGTGAACGAGAACACAGGTGGGGCAACCGAATTGTATTTAGCGAAATTACAAAGTTACTCAGTAAAATTGGAAAACCATATCGTAAATCGTTCATTTGCAAAATATCAGTTCATCATATCGAACTGGACTGTTCCTGTTGCAAAACATCAATCCATTGTCACTCACTATTCATGCGTTTCATACAAATTCCATTGTGTTCTAACTCTTCCTTTCTTGATCTTCCCCCATATTATGCTGCCAGACAATACGTTGACACTCACGTCATATACTACTTATAAGTAGCTCACACCACAGTAGTAGTAGTAGCAATAACCGTGATAATAAATCAATTTACTATGCGAGTGATAAACAGACTGCTGCTTCTTTCTCAATGCTTAAATTTAAGTTTGAGCAATACCTTTAACTATCTAAAAAAACTAGAGAAATTTATTTGTTTTAAATTTGTAAATTAGAAATTTACCTTACAGCGAACAAATAAATCTGATTTACATATCATGTGTTGATGTTTTTATTTTCTCATGTTTATTTCAAGTTTTGAATCTGTTGTAAGTTTTTTTTTAGAATAAAAACGACAGGTCATTTTTAATAAAAAAATATATATAGAACGCTATATATTTTGAGGATTATGATTTGATTTCCTTTCATAATGATAAAATCAACTAATTTTTTTTCCAGAGAATAATAGTATATTTCAAATTCTCATTATAAGCAGTTCAGTTGCCCTATTTTACTTAACCTATTTTATTGAAACAAGCTGAGGAGAGTGTATACTGTTTCCTAGTTATTACACAGTTAGTCTATACAAAACTTAAACCTTAGATTTTATCAAAATAGCTTGTATTGAATTGCATTTAATTCCGTTCGTGACGATGATTTTACAAATATGAAACTTCAGAATCTTGTGCAGTTGGTATGAGTTACAAGTGTACATTATTATTAAAGATTCCCATTGTGAAAATTAGAACGACACATATAAGCGAACAGTGTGATTGTTTTCGATTAGATCGTCGTTATCAGGCTTTACTCCAATATACATGAACATTTATAGATGAAAATGTTAAACCAATCAAGGCAATTTGAGTCAATAATCACCATGAAATGAAAAAGATCACTACATATAATAGGCAAAAGTACAAATGGATAGTAGGAAGACAGGTGTACTGATAACAGTAAGAAAATTATAAAATATGATAACTAAAGTTTTATCAATAGTAGGTCAAAGGTGGATGAATAGACTTCAAATAAACATTAAAAACATCAAAACCATTACGTAATAAGCAAATGTGTAAAAATAAAAATAAAATAAAATAAGATAAAAAATATATGATGTCAGTCGTTAGTTACTTCATATTCGGTCACGGAAAAGACAGGGGTGTCATGAATTTCTTCTGAACACATAAATTGGGGTTGAATGTAAGAATTCCTATGGCTTCTGCTATGTGTAGGAGACGGGATCGAACTTCGTTGGGAAATGATGGAGGTATACGATAGATCACTCGAAAAGATCTAGACTTATCTACAATATGACCACTATCAACCAGGTGTACTAAGATCGAACTGCTTATCATTTTTGATTGACCCTTCTTAAACCATGCTGGGAGATGTTCACTCATTCGTTGTGTAAGTTGCCTGGTAGTACGCCCGATATAGCTATCTCCACAGGAGCAGCTGAATTTGTAAATGCACATCGAGGAGGCTGAATTGTTGTGATACAATTTCAAGAGAATTCTAGTGCTCATTGACAATAATTGTTTCAATGCGTAAATTTGCCAAAGCATTTACAATTAAGCTGAATAGTTTTCGTCGACAATTTTCATGTAACTTTATAAAACTCTAGTTTACTTCTCATTCGACGGTCGTTCACATTTACAGTATTTTAGTATTCGCAACCTCTTAACATATTCGTATCCATTCATTCAGTAGATGTACTTTTCACTAGAGGGTTTAATTTTAAAATATTTTGAACTTATGAATATGTCAGCGTAGCTGAGCTCAAAATATGAGATAAAATTACCAGCATATGAAAGTTAGTGCTTGAATTGAAAATTATACTCTTATACAAAGCAGTCATTCATTAAGTAAACGCAAAAAATTTTGAAAATACTAAACCTAATGCAATATTCAAACACTAAGATTACAATGAACAATCACAAAGGTGAATGTAAATTTGAATGAGTTTTGAATTTATTTCATTCAGTACAAACAAAACTAATCATATTTTATGTATGTTCACTTATGAATGACTGTAATAGTTTTTAAGAATAAACATTGAAAGTTGATTGTTTAAATAAAGTGTTTTAATTCACTAATTTATTCATTGTTATTTTGCGGTATTTTTGTAATCGTATTTTTTTTTAGATTTGGCCCTTAACATGAAATCATGATCAGCATCCAGTACATCATTCATTCAATTAAAGCAGATCAATTTTAGTTCGCAAATGAGGAAAAAAATTCCTTCATAGTTTTTTATTCAATGAATAATTTTATCGAAATTTAAATATAGTAATAAATCTATTGTTTTTTTACATTGAATTTGTTTGTTTTTTATCAATCTTAATTGGAGAAAATTCAATAATTTTCGATTTAGTTCAGATGTTTACTATAAAACAAGGTATAATATAAACAGTCAGAATTGAGAAGACTATTTTGAGGTTTCTGAAAAAAGTTCAAATAAAAATCTATGACTTCCGACTTTTATCATATAAAATGCACCATAGAAATACCCTTGTATAGTTCACAGAATGTTTAAAATCAATACGAATGCTCCTTTTCGTCACGGTGTTGTACAGTTCATTCTTTTTACGTAAATTGTAACTAACGCATAAAATCAGTGTGTTGTGTCTTAGTTCATTCAAACAAATCACATTATTAGTCGTTTGTTGAATAATAAAGCGAGTTATTGAACTAGAAATGAAAAAACAAATTAGTTTTCACACATAGATTAATCACAAATATATGGCGTTAAAATTGATTCTTTATTGTGTTGATCAACGTGCCTCTACAAAAAACAAATAAATAGAGATTTTAGGAGCGTCTTCAACCGCACTTGATGTTGGGTGTGGGACGGAAGAGCTAGTTTATTTTGATACCCAAATGGACTAGCGGCAGCTCATGCTGATCTTGAAGATGAGCGTCTGCTTAATCTCTCATTCGCTCCAACATTACTCTGTTAGATAATTTTCCTGGTATTGAGGGTAGAATGATGGTCCTGTAGTTCTCACAATTGTTGAGATCTGTCTTTGGTGTCTTGAGAAGATGTTCTTCTCTTCAGTCTGTTTGTACTTGATCTTCCTCTCAAATCTTGCTAAACAGATCTCAGAACATCTTTGTAGTCACTGTCATGTCTGCTCTCAATGCCTCAGTTGGAATATTGTCTGTTCTTGCTGCTTTGCCGCTCTTTATCTGCCGTATTGCGATGCTGATCTCTGCAACTGTTGGCGGGTCAACCTTAATTGGTGAGTTCGTGGTTGCTACTTCGATACTCTGTGGTTTCAGTGGGGCTGGTCAACTGAAGAATTCTTCATAGTGCTCTTCCGACCTACCTGGCTGTTATTTACCCTTGCTTTTCACTGGTCGTTCTGATTTCCTGCAATCTCTTAGTTGTCTCATGTTTCTTTCTCTTGCTGTTTTTCTGTTCTTCCGTTCTCAAATCTTATCTAGTGTATCAGCAGGGATCCATTCCTTATGACGGTGTTTCTTGTAGCCCAAAACCCCATGACATACAGAAATCAGTGTTTCTTTGATCCATTCCCAGTTGTTTTTCATGGCAATCTCCTCATCACTGCGTAGACCGTCACGGGACCGAAACTTATTGCTGAGAGCTATCTTGAATTCGTTGAGTTTGCCAGTATCCCAAAGAAAGACTGTATTAAACTTTTATAATACTGTTTCTTCAATGCTTATTTAGGTTCAGTTTCACCTTGGTTCATCAATGAATAACTGATAACTCATTAGAGCACATAAACTCAGAAATTTCGTAAAATCTAAACTGTTACAATTGCTTGTACTTAATCCTAAACAGACTGATTTTGTGAAATTTAAGTCTCATGAATAATATGCTTACCTGTCGATTTCCAGTGTTCCTGCAGAATTTTCGTTTTACGATGCATTTATTCTTAAACTCGAAATGAGTTGAGATGTTTGTTTCGAATGCATTAGGTGGAGAATAAACTTGCTAAAACATTGAGTAAATCATTCAAAAAAGAGAAATCAATATTTCACAGTTTTTAACTCAAAGCCGCATAGATAAATTTGAATTTTGCTTGAAGATGATGATTGATCATTGAACGAGTAAGCGTACGTCAGTTGATGTTGCAATTGTTAAGTCAATTTGATAATTTACTATCTTTACAACCGATAACGAATAACCTTTTCTTGTGAAATGAGAAAACAAAATCATAGTCGAATCAAATGGCATTAATTAATGACAATTTAGATTGTAAAACATATTTCAAGTAAAATTAAAGAAATACAAAAATGTTTTTCTGAAAACCTTTAAACAAGTTGTTAATGTAAAAAGGCACTTTCTCAAACAAATAACATCGAGTTATAAAAAACACCAGAATAACTGTATTCGGATGTTCATATGGCATAATCATGTCTTTACATTCCATTGGATATTCATGTATTCAATTGCACAGCAGTTGTTAGTATATTAAATTTGTTCGTCTGAAAATAAATAAGATGAATAGGTTATTAATACTAAGCATACTGTGGTGCGAGCTACTTATAAGTAGTATATGACGGGAGTGTCAACGTAATGTCTGGCAGCAGAAGATGGGGGAAGATCAAGAAAGGAAGAGTGGGAACACAATGGAATTTGTATGAAACGCATGAACAGTGACAATGTATTGATGTTTT